TGGAATCAAGAATTTTAAGAGACAAAAAGACCCATATAATTTCTGCCATAGAGACCCATGTAACACACACAGCCAACTGCAGTCTTCTGCTCCATGCTTTTATGCCCTGCCATGAAACAGCTGCAGGTGCTTCAAGCAAATAAAGGCCAGTTCAAACTTATTTGAGAGTTGATACATCTCTGCGGCAGAGCAGTGGATCCATTATATATCCCTTACTACTTGCACATTGTAGTGTATCCTCTGGGACTGCAGAGATTTGGTGCAAAGCATTTCACACACAATTGTATATGTCTAAGCTCAGTAATGTAAGTTCATTAAATCATTTGAATTAATCATATTTCAACTATCTACTGTAACAGCCAGTACTGTGGTTAAAAGTGCAGGACTGGGACTCAGGCGATCTGGGTTCTAGTGCCTGCTTGGTCATGGAGTCAACAGGGTGACTTAGAGCCAGTCAGACTCTTAGCCCAGTCTATATCACAGGGTTGTTCTTGTGGGGACAAGATGGAGAGCAGCAGGAGAATGATACAAGCTGCTTTGAGCTCATTGTAAGAGAAAAGGAGAATATAAATCAAATAAATAAATAATAAATGATTTAATATTAAATTAATTTCAACCGTATTTTCAGGATGGTTTGCACTAATATATTAAAAAGTAACTAATGCATACCCTTTTTCTAATTGCACATAAATAGCAAGAGGAACGGAGGGCCTGAACATACAAAACTACAAACTCCCAACTTGAAAACTGGGCTCCATCTCAAACTGAGCACAGTGTATATGTATATATAAACAGCCATTCTTCCTTTGTGTTTAATAATAACAATATCTACTCAATGTTTTGAGAGAGCGCAGAGACCTATTCTTCATAAACAGCTTTATGATGGAAAGTTAATCAAAATCCATGTTTGCTTTCATATCTATAAATAAACCACTGTAATAAAATATTTTGGAGAAAGCTTTTGGAGAGAAAAAGTTATTTGGACGAATTCAGCCTTTGTTCAATTCTATACAAACAAACTGAAACCTGCAGAAAGACACCCATGCAGTGGAAGCGTGGATTTCCCTTGTGCGAATAGAGCACTACTGACAGAAAAATTAATATGTATGTGCTGCGTTTTGCCTTCCATTTTAAATAAAGCTCAATAGAAAAGCAAGTATTTTAAAACCATTTTAAATTCAAATGCCAAATCATGTTACCTTTTTGCATCCACTAGAATTGCATAGCCTTAGGCTGTAATCTCAGAGAGGTTACATCTTGCATCCTTCTGAATTTTCATGAACTGCTTTTTGATTGGATGCTGTTTAATGGGACTGAAGAATATTATATTGGCAAAGGGATCTCACTTTAGCTGCACCATCCAGTGTAAGTGTTACTATTAGGTTCTTAGTAAGTTTATATTTAGCTAATAACCTTTATTTTGAGACCAGATAGATTGATACAATGTGTGCATATAAAACCTTCAGGCAAACTTCAAGTGCTTATTGTCTTGCAAGATGGCATTTTGTGAGAATATATTAATGTGGTGATCCTGGTTTTTAAATAAATTCTATTTCAGATGCAAATTCAATATGGGTGCATTTCTTTGCACGTCCATCTTCAAGCCTCTAAACATTAAATGAATAAATCATATTGTCATGTCTCAGATCTTTAGTTGGGTAGGCTGGCTCAGCTCACAAGATTCGTACCTGAGAAGCAATTCCATGTTTCAGTGGATTTTCCACTAGTCTTCTATGCTTTCTGCACATCAGAAGCAGATTTGCAAGTTGTTATTGTTTAGCAAAGTTGTGTCCAACCCATCACGACCCCATAGACAACATTATTCCATGCTCTCCTGTCCTCCACCATCCCCCTGAGTCCATCTAAGCTCACACTGACTGCTTCAGTGACTCCATCTAGCCACCTCATTCTCTGCCATCCCCTTCTTCTTTTGCCATCTATTGTTCCCAGCATTAGGCTCTTCTCCAGTGAGTCCTTCCTTCTCATTAGGTGGCCAAAGTATTTGAGTTTCATCTTCAGGATCTGGCCTTCTAAAGAGCAGCCAGGGTGGCTCTCCTCTAGGACTGACCGGTTTGATCGCCTCGCGGTCCAAGGGACTCGCAGGAGTCTCCGCAAGCACCACAATGCAAAGGCCTCAATTCTTTGGCACTCAGCCCTCCTTATGGTCCAACTTTCACAGCCATACATTGCAACTGGGAAAACCATAGCCTTGACTATATGCACTTTTGTCGGCAGGGTGATGTCTCTGCTTTTTAGTATGCTGTCTAGATTTGCCATAGCTCTCCTCCCCAGGAGCAAGCATCTTTTAATTTCTTGGCTGCAGTCCCCATCTACGGTGATCTTGGAGCCCAGGAAAATAAAATCTGTCACTACCTCCATTTCTTCCCCATCTATTTCCCAGGAAGTGATAGGACCGAATGCCATGATCTTAGATTTGCAAAAGGGTCTGTGAAACATGAAGGACTTAGAACTATTGTTACTGGCTTTTTGGGTAGCTGTAGGACTACTTATGATACTTTTTGGAAAGGCAGTAGAAATGTCATTGAAAGTTCCCTATGGAAAGACCTGAGAAGCCAAAGCTAGATGAACCACTTTTGGAGGCCTAGGATGCATAATAGTTATATTCTACACCCTTTTGGGGACATTTCATTGCTATGCATCTCTTACATCTGAAAGCTCCATTCTGACCTTGTGTTGGAGGCAATGTGACCTATGTCCTTCCCATGCTGTTCAAGTAACCTATAGATCTCAGCTGTGTGGGAGGAGTCTTAGACAACATTTTCTTGGGAAGCCTCCATACTCTGGCTATTGAGAAACTCCACGTGGACAAAGCTGTGGCTTTTCCTACATGTTTAGGTTATATGAGAAAGCACCAAGTTTGCATTCTAAGTATTTTTATTAAAAGTAAGTCTCATTAAAATCCACAGAATGTACTCCTGGCTGACACATCATATTATCAAACTACAAGTCATTCTGAAATTGAAAAAAATATTCACTTTCCTGGAAATGTACTAATGCTGCAAGTTTAAATGGACTGTCCACTGAAATTCTAGACTTTGGTAGCAAAACAATATATTTTTCTTTCTCATTAATCAGCAATTTCTTGTTCCGTGCCTGAACTAACCACTTGGCTCCAGATATGTACCTACTGACCTCAGCCTACAATCTATGCTGATCAGTCCTTCTGGGAGTGTTTTGCTGATGACTGTTGATTTGTCTGACACACCTCAAGTTGCTTACTGCTTGAATCAATATGTGTGCCAACTGATCAACACAGGCTTTTAACCTTGAGGTGGTCTTGTATTCAGATCACCATTGCCTTTACCGAAATGACATGGATTCTCATTTTTTATCTTTATTCCGTTTATTTTCATGTTTAACCTTCAGCTTATGTGGCACGGAAAGACAAACACTCCACTACCAAGCAATTCTTTAGAGGAATATAAATACTCCCCGCAAAATTGAAGAGTGCTTTATGAAACTACCTTCAGTGAACCCATTCCATATGGATTTGTCTGCTATAGAATCTCTTTCAAGTTCTGCTACAAAAAGCTTGCATGGCCAGCATTCTATGGTGCGTATCTTGCACCAGGCCTATCAGGCCCAAGAGTCCTGTATGAACAGCACAACTTTGGCACCTGAAATCCTCCCCTCCATTGTAGGAAAAGATCAGTTGGTGGCCATGTGATCTTTCAGAGAACCTTGTCCATTATTGTCCAGTGATAATCTCATTGAAGAAGCCCTGATAAGAAGCTTTGAAGAAGCTTTTGAGAAATCCCCAGATTTTTGCCAAGTAGTTTGAAAACCAGTGTCATAAAAGAATCCTTTAGTTTAGGAACATAATAACATTTGTTGCACGATACTTTCATTCAGATTGAGTTATCTTTAAAGTTTGCAATTTTAGATTCAGGAAGGTATTACTATAAGATTTATGTTTGTATTTTTTTCTGAACACCTTGTGTTCAAGTGCAAATATGTATTTCAATAAATGGAAAAGTAATAAGGGAGAAGAAGATGAGAAAGGCAGGAAAAGAAGAGTAGCACAGTAAGATGGGTCATAAATCAATTCAGGTGATACTGTTTAATAGATTCAAGTCAGGTATTTCCAGAAGGGTGCTTGATATTTCAGAATAGAAAAAAATGCCTGTTCTGAGCCTAAATTTCCCCTATAACTTCAATTCATTTGCAGTTATTTTAACTGATCGGGTTCAGATATCACACTAACTCATAACTCCTGGTTTAATAGTGCAGGATAGTATGGGTGACATGTACTTGCATATAGTCCCTTCGCTGCCTTTCCCTCCTCCCTTCAGCTGACTGAGGAAACAGCTTGAAGCTTCTCATTATATCCACCTGGGAATTATAGTTAATGGCTTCAGTACAAAACTGGATTTGTAAGTCAATTTTAAACAATGGCTTAAAACTGGTTTACAATCTTGGCTTATTTGGACAGAACAGGAATTTGGTTAAGTATTTATTTCTAAGAAATCTGATTATTTTCTCATAGGTTTTTCTGCTTGTCTGAAGGGAGGAGCAAAACAGAAAGAAATAATCTCCATATGGATACACACGATTCCTGCATATTCTGGTTTATTAATCCAGAATTAGATTGTCTGGACATATCCAATATACCTCAGTACCTAGTGACTTAAAACATTTGCTTATGGTAAAATAACATTGATTCTTCCTATATACACTTGTATATTATTTTGCTGCCGTTTCATTTATAAGTGAGGTGCTAACATTTCTAGGAGCTGATTTCTTTAGGAGCTTATTACAAATCTGAAGACTGATTTGTTATCTTTCTCCAGATTCCCCAAATAAGATCAACTCTGAATATAGGAAGTCTGTTGCTCCCAGAGGAGCGGTTTAGAAGTTGCTAAGAAAATCTTAATGTGGCTAACGTTAACTTGCTTTTTCTAAGAGCTCTCAAACTATGTTATGTTGTCTCATTGCTGATTTGCAAGATACATTGATAATGCATATTTTTATTTTTACAGCTGAGCCCACTCTTTAGAGATACAGTTCTGAAGAGAACATTCAATGCCACATTGAATAATCCTGTTGAGCTACAAATGGACAATTCTATTTACAAACCTTTGACTGACAAACAAGACCTTTTCTGTGTGTCTAATAAAAAGATCTTGAAAGCGTGAGTATCTACTTTTGTACTATTAAGAAATACATACTGGTAAATAGTTGGAAAATTACAAACCTGTTTTGGTGTAAAATTCTGTGCCCTGCATTAAAACAAACATTTTTCATTTGCAAAATGTAACACTTTAATATTTTAAACCTTCACATAAATGTAAATAGAAGACTTTCCCAAAACCACATAAAACATGTAAAGGAAGAGCTGGAGTAGACTTTATTTTACTTGGTAGTAATGCAAAGAAGATTCTGGGACTATTGGATAGTTACCATAAGAACTGTAAAGAACATCCATATACTGCTTTTCAGGGGACTGGATGGACTCGGTACCTTGATGATAAGCAACTTAGCATGGGTGCTACAGTCCCCGTTCTTTTCCTTTGACCACCCAGACAATCATGTTCATGGTGGTTAGTCTCCCCAATCCCACCATCTCGTTCCCTCTCAACTGTTGGCATTTTGGGACAAGCCAGGCCTGTACAGGAGGGATGGATTCCAGCTGAACCAAAATAGAACCATACTGTTGACATATAACGTTACAAATGTGGCAGACCTGCTTTTGAATTGAATCTTGAGGGGAAAGCTGACAAGAGCTGGGAAGTATCTAGTTCAAGTATGCACTTCAGCTGTGGGAAAGTATAGGGTTAGGGTTCAGAGCCAAAATAGGAGAGCTGGAATGCCTAGTTTTAAAGGAGAAGCTATATTTAGCGGGCATTGTAGAAACCTGGTCGAATGGAGCAAATCGGTGGGATGTAGTCTACTCTAGATATAAACTGTATCAAAAGGACAGAAAAGAGCACATTGGAAGTGGTGGTGTCCTGTACATCAAAGAGGCACAGAATCCAACAGACTTGTTAATCTAGAATGCATAGACTCCGCAAGAGAAGCACTGCACATGGCAATAACTGGTTCCAAAACTAATTTAGTCATAGGAATATGCTATTGTCCTCCACACCAGAATGCTCAGGATGATCTTGAGATGGAAAATGAAATCAGGGAGGCCTCCAACAAAGGGAGTACTCTAATAATGGGAGACCAACTATCCACACATTTACTGGCTAACAGCATATTTCAGTTACGACAGTGAGGTTAAATTTTTCAAAGTCCTAAATGACTATGCCCCAGAACAGTTGGTCATGGGACCAAACAGAGGGGAGGCAACCTTGGATTTAATCCTAGGTGGGGTTACCCAGGACATAGTAGTTGTTGAGCCAATTGGAAATAGTCACCACGACACTATCAGGTTTAAAATGCAGTTAGGTAGAAGATTGCTAAAAGGTCCAATACAGTTACATTTGACTCCAAAAGAGGAAATCTCTCTAAAATATGGGACAAGCTAAAAAAGAAGTTCAAGAGGACAGTCAAAAAGCATCAAATCCCTTTGAAATGCTTAGACATTTCTCAGAACAATAATAATAGAGGGCCAAATAGCATGAATACCAAAACTTAGGAAATGTAGCATGAAATGCTAAAGGTCACCAGCTTGGTTAACACATGGAGTCAAGGAAGCTTATGGAGGGAAGAAGGCTTTCTTCACAAAATGGAAGTCTTGCCCAGATGAGGAAACAAAAAGGAGAACAAACTTACAGAAACGAGTTGCAAACAAGTATTGAGAGAAGCAGACTAACATTTTGAGGTGCATATTACTAACAGAAGGATTTAAATACATCAGAAGGAAGAATTCAGCCAGAGAAGCAGAGAGACAATTAGATGATAACAGAATCAAGGGAGCATCAGAGGAGGATGAAGAAATTGCAGAGAGGCTGAATGAAATCTTGGCCTTTTTAGTCCTCACAGCTGAGGATTTAGAACAGATTCCTGTTTCTGAACTTATGTATTTATGAAGGGAGTTGGAGAAATTAAGGCAGATAGTAAGGTTCTCCCCAAGGAGATTCACCTGGCACTTTCCTTACTTTCTTTTGGGCACAATGGCTGATCTTGCCAAGCCTTCATACCATGTTGGGTTCTCTTCAGCTCTGGTGACAAAAGGCCATTGTTGTGCAGAGAAATGATGGAATAGACCGTTGTTTCTGTTCATGGCTTCTCAGGAACAAATGTTCTGCACTGGAACACTACGGTGGCATTAGGCAATAAGATAGAAGAACAATAGTAAAAGTACACCATGACTTGTTGCATCATGCAGACCCTGCCCTGCTGAGCATCTACTTTCCCCAGTCAAAATGCACTGGATCTTCAGGTCAGGGTTATCCTTCCCCAGAAATGTGCCCTTTCATCTTCATTCAGAAGGAACTATGGGGAAAAACACCTTGAACGCACCATGTTTTTGTTATCTTTTCATACAGGCAAAGCGAATGATGGTACATGAGCCCCCCTGAGTGTTGCCTTGTGAAGAAATGTCTGCAGCTTGATGTTGACTTCCATCAGTTGCTCAGTTGAACCATCTTTGTCTTATATCCTTCAGAAATACAGAAACTCTTATTACAAGATAACTCTTTTAATTTCTTTTTTGAAACTTTTCTTCCTAATAACTAGTCTTCTTTCTGTGTTTTTTCCTACGTTGCTCATATTTCTGTTTGTACACCTCCAAGAATGAATAAAGGTATTTAGTTCATCCCCTCCCAAGCTTTACTTGCTTTTTTCCTTTTTGAATTTGTTAGTTGGAAGGTGAAAGCAATACAAACACAGAGATATCTGGATGATACTTGAAAGCCAGAATATGTTTACAATATTTGTCCTGAACAACCAGTCATCATGAATTGCAAAAAGAATGGCTTTTGCAACCATATAGATACTTCTCAATTTATAAAAATTGCAACAGCAACAACACAATTAAGCACAGTAGATTGTGGAATGCGCTCCCCGGAGAGGTTCGCCTGGCACCAAGCATATATTCTTCGCCAGGTCAAAACCTTTTTATTCAATTGTTATTTCAAAAATTAGTATTTTAATGGTTTTAATTAGTCGCTTTTGATTCAATTTATGTTTATTGGTTATTATATTGTATTAAATGTTTTATTGTATTCTGATTTTAATATTGTAAGCTATCCTGAGATGTCATACATTAAGGATGGCATATAAAAGTTTTAAATAACAACAATAAGTTCACTTGTCCTGTTCAATGCCCACTGAACATTTTGGTCCTTAATCGAGCATTTTGGGAATTTTGGTCTCCTTAGGGTAGATTCCTATTGCATTAATCATCGGTTCGAAGTGGAGTAGTTTATTCTCATCCCATGCAGGGCAATTGTAGTTTCCCTGTCCTCATGCTGGCGTTTTTGTCCAACAATCTTTTTTGCCCATCTATCAAATCATTTGAGAGGGGGAGAGAAGGAGACTGGAAAGGCCACTGGATCACTCATATCCCAGACCCTTCAGTCTCTTCCATTCCCTTCCTTGCCCACCTCTTCCCAAGCTTCCTGATCTTGGGGAGGTAGCCAGGATTCTTGCTGTGCTAGCTGAGAGAAGGGAGGATGGATTGCAGATTCCCTGTTTTGAGGTTGGTGCACTATGTCTGAGCTCAGATCTGAGAATCTGAAGTATCCTACATTTCCCCAGATGATGTTTAGGGACCATAGGATTGCTCTCTCCAAGGGTCTGTCTGTCTGTATTTATTTCTGCAAACCTCAGGGTTCCCCTGAACATAATGCTGCCTCAGCCTTATGCATGGATAGTGCTGTTTTTGCTACATAAGAATCCCTATGCAGAGAAAAATTGCTCTTAGTATATAGGATGCTGCTTTACCTTTGAAGATTCTGACAAGGAAGAGTCCTTCTGATATCTTCTTGCAGAGGTGGAGAAAATGGATATGGATATGAGGATATTATTATTATTATTATTATTATTATTATTATTATTATTATTATTATTAAACATTTCTATGCCTCCCCTTGCCGAAAGCTCGGGGCGGCTTACAACACAATAAAATACATTGAAATACAATAGAACATAATAAATTACCATTAAATACAAAAATACAAAAAATACACTGAGTTACAAATATAAAATTAAAATTATCAGTATAAAATAAGTAAATAAAAATATAGGAGGAGAAAAGAGAAGGAAGAAGAAGTTGCCCTGGCCAGATCATATGTTTTAACAATTAAAATGATGTTTAAATAAAAAGGTCTTTACCTGGCGCCGAAAAACCAGTAACGACGGTGCCAGGCGGACCTCTTTGGGGAGTGAATTCCATAGGTTGGGCGCCACCACAGAGAAAGCCCTCCTCCGAGTACTTACTCTCCTAATTTCTTTCATGGAGGGTTCCCGGAGGAGGGACTCTCCCGCAGATCTCAAAGGGCGGTCGGGCATATACGGACGTAAGCGCTCGTTCAGGTAGCCAGGACCCAAGCCGTTTAGGGCTTTATAGGTCATAATCAACACCTTGAATTGGGCCCAGGCTTCAATGGGAAGCCAGTGAAGTTGACGGAGGACTGGAGTCATGTGAGCATAACGCCCCGTCCCTGTCAGCAACCTGGCAGCTCTATTTTGCACCAATTGAAGTGTTCGGACAGTCTTCAGGGGAAGCCCCACATAAAGTGCGTTACAGAAGTCTAGGCGGGAAGTCACCAGCGCATGTGTCACCGTCGCCAGGCAGTCGTACTCCAGGTAGGGGCGCAGCTGATTAATCAGCCGAAGCTGAAGGAAGGCGTTCCTCGCCGCCGCTGTCATCTGAGCTTCCAAAGAAAGCTCCGGGTCGAGGAGTACTCCTAAGCTGTGGACCTTATCCCTAAGAGGGAGTGTTGCACCATTCAGGACCAGGTCAAATCCACCCTCTCCGAAACCCGATCCGCCAACCAACAGGACCGCCGTCTTGTCTGGGTTGAGTTTCAGTTTATTGGCCCTCATCCATTCCCTTACCTCGGCCAAGCACCGGTTCAGCACAGCCACTGTATTATTTTGTTCTTAGTGATGATTGGAAACTCCTATACAATGTCATCTTAAATAAACAGATAATTGTTGAAGGATCTTAGACAATTTTGCTTTCATCAGGCTATTTTATATGGATTTTAGTTCTGATATAATTAAAACCACATTTAGGCTGCAGCAGTGATCAGAATCAAGGATTCAAGTTTTGGTTGCAGTATTTTAGCTCTAAATTGAGGAATGCCAGATACATCATTTGTCAGTAGATATGTCTTTTGATCCCCATGCTTTTCTTCCTTTCTGATCCAAACGGTAGGCAGATGCCAATGCCATAGTGAGACGTGGGCATTGTGCTTATGTTCCAAGGTACTTTCTTCTAGTTCATACATTTTATGACTGAACCTGGAATTTGAAAGATGTGCCCTGGAAAACCCTGGTTCCAACTAAATACGATGATATTAAATAATCTCACAGCACTCCAAGACCTTGGAGCTCTTCTGTTAGATTGCACAGGCATTCTGAAAATCAGATTAAATCAACCTACACTCAGTATGGTGCCCTCCAGTTATTTTGGATGAAGTCCCAGAGTTCCTGACTGTTGAACCCGCTTATTGGAGCTGATGGGAGCTGACATCTAGAGCAGGGGTCCTCAAACTTTTTCGATAGGGTGCCAGTTGAAAGGCGGCGGCTACATATGCAGGCCGGTGAGGTGGGGGTGCCTGGGAGCGCAGGCTGGTGAGGTGCTGTCAGGCACACATGAGGTGGCATCGGGCACACGTGGCGGTGGCTTGCTCGCTCGGAGACCATCCCCGATCAAGCGAGCCACCTCCTCCCCACCCCCCCGCGCAAGTATGGGAGGCAGGCGGCTGTGGCTTGCTCGCTCGGAGACCAGCTCCGGTCGAGCAAGCCACCACCTTCCTGCCCGTGCAGCAAGCATGCGCACAGGTGATGAACGGCAGCAAGGGCCAGATGGATGGCCATGGCAGGCCGGATCCGTCCTGCGGGCCATAGTTTGAGGACCCATGATCTAGAGCATCTGGAGGCATCAGGTTGGGACAGGTTAGACTAGATGGACTAGTAACTTAGTCCATATATTGAATTTAACCTGGTTGATGTCATCCAAGATTCAGTCATGACAGTATTGGTCAACTGTTCTGAGGTCACTGGAATAGCCATGCCAAATTTATCCAGTGTAAATGGAAACAAATTTAGGGATGTATGTAGAAAAAGTCTGTTCAACACATTCATCTAAATTGGAAATATGGGAGAGCACAATGCTAAACCCATCCAACTGCTAGATGATCCCACAAATTTGATGAAAAATGAGCTTTTTATTTTACATATTTTCCAAATTTATTTCCAGCCCTTCTGCAGAGACTCACTCCTGTTCTGGTTGTTTCCTATCTGTACTGTTAGAACTAATTATTGCATCATTTCTGCTGTGACCTAAAATCTACTTACCACAAGGTAGTCACAGCAATACAGGATTCATAAGGGTCTGATCTCACAATCTCTTCAAGCTGGACTTTTCCCTGTCCACGTTTAATGATGGCTAAAGCCTAATATTTAAACAAGCTGTCAATGGATGTAGGAGCCAGGATCGTTAAAGAAGAGCTCAAAATGGGAAAATGTGTATAATTTGTACTGTGGAATGCAGGCTCAAATCCAATTTTATGTGGGTGGTATATGGATGTAAAGTGCTGGTCTTAGCAAAACAGTGAACCTAACTACCAATTAAAAAGCATTCTGCAATATATCTTTGCTATATTCAGCAATAAAGTGTCTTAAATTCACTGGAACCATTGATAACTTCTTTTATCACATTCTAATAAAGGCTGTGCAGAGCCACTAGATCACATCCTATTATGGAGTCATTTGTGGCAATGTTAGCTGTACGGTCTACACTGAGCAGCATGATTTATTGGCATCTTCATTCAGATCACAGTTTTTAAACAGAAACAAAAATGTACAACTGGTGCAATGTTTCAAAGCCTGTTATTTTTAACATAAAACATTTAAGAAAAACATTTTCTATCCAAGGTCCAAAGCAAAAGGAGCTCAAGCAATGCAATATTTTCCAACTGTGATTCTGCTGTTTGCAGGAACACAAAAAATCACGTTCTGTTCCTGACTCTCCCCCATTTGCATTAATTTGGTTGCTTTGGTCAGTGAACTCCATTCAGTAGATGCTTTGCTTCATTTTGTCTGAGAGTGGATTTTACCTCCACTTGATATCCACATTAGTTGACAGGGGCCTCAAGCACAGTGAAATTGATCAAATCAATTTGTTCTCCACAGAGCATCTTGAACTATGCTATGGTGAGTAACAGTGCAAGCATATGGATGGTTACTCAGAGGAAATCTGATTGTAGCCCATGGGCTCATTCCCTAGTAAATGGATATAGGACTGCAGCCCAAGTCTCCCCAAGCCAGCATCTTTTCCTATGACATTATGATGAGGGTAATTTTCTTCATCCAGATCTCCTTTTCTCTGCCCTGATTTGAAATTTTTATGC